AAAAGAAGCAAAGCTTGTACCTCATCATCAAACATCAACAACATAACCAATATACTCAGACAACGGCCTAACACTGGGTTTAGACACCCATGTTTACTGTCATGCAACAAAAGAGCCTCAGAATTGATCCTCGACAAAAACACATAATTCTTACCCGTTCAGGTACCCCACGGTACCCTTAACGGTAGTGGGTACAACCGCATGGTACCTGGGTACCGTCCCACAGTACGTGGGTACCGTCTATAGCAGCTACTGTCCTCACCCGCTAGGCATGTCATGATAGCCTCTACCGACTTAGTGGTAGGGCTTACCATCCGTGCGGTACTATTTGGTGACAAGTACCGGAAGAGAGAAGGGAAAACAGAGACGGTGGATGTAACGCCCCAAAATATACCCTAAAATTTATTGAATTAAATATTCAATTAAACAAAATTTGTTTTGATTAAAATAAATTGTTGTTGGGCTTTGGGCTCAAATAAAATATATATTGATATCCAATAAACATAATTGGGATAAATCTCATAGAGATAAATCCAACATGTTGATTTATTGTATGATCTTGATTGGGAACCTGAGTACAGACCCAAATTAAGAATAAATGAAGAAATTGTTTATAATGTGAACTTTGAAATGATTTATTGAAATAAATCATGGAAATAAATAATATGAATTAAATGTGAGAACCTTTTTGAATAAAGGTCAATTAAACCAATTTTGACTCTGTCAAAGTCAACCACTCAAAAATATGATGTCGGAAAAAGTATAACGAATAAATATAAAAATTATATCGTTAGATAGAGTTTAACTGTCTGATCGCAACGGTGCAATCGGATTTCAATTCGGAGAAAGTTGGACCAAAAAGTGTTCCCCGACTGGGACCAAATTAGTCCCAATCAGGGACTTGCGTTTGGAATTGAAGAAATATCGCAGCCCCCTCCACTGAGACGCCGAAACAGGAACGGATACATCATCACCTTGGCCTCTTCCTCCATTCTTTTACTATATAAGAAACCCAACTTCACCATTTCTTCACCATTCTTCATCAAATTCATTCTGAGAGATAGCCTTGAGTGTGGAGAACGTAGTGGTGCTGTCAATTTGTTGAGAGGTCGCCGGAACAAGACGTGGTGTTCGCCGGAAGTTTCACCGGAAAATATTCAAAACCTTCATTTACCTTCGAGGTAAGCCTGTAGATATATCTAGTGATTAGAATGTTCGTATAGATCGTTTTTACGTTCATAAACGGTCGTTAGGTTGAGTTTTATGTTTGACATGTTTGAAGAAACCAAGAATCATAAACCAAGAAATTGTTGTTAAAACTACAAATTAATGACTCTAAAATGATCCGTGAACATTGGGGAACATTCCTATATAATTTAATTGAAGTTTGGTAATTAAAAATGATAATGTTAAAAATTGAACAGAGGAAGAAGATGATGAAAAGTGGCCGAAAATCGATTATTTCCTTCCTAATAATCGATTAAAAATTTGTTCAGATAGTCAGTATATTTAAAAAATTATAATAATCAATTATTTTAATCATAAAAATCGATTTAACGTTATTAATCGATTATTTTAATTATAAAAATCAATTATTATGAATTAATTGATTATTTAAATTGTAAAAATCGATTATTATGAATTAAAAGATTATTTAAATTGTAAAAATCGATTTTTTATGAATTAATCAATTATGTATATTGTAAAAATCGATTAAAATTAATTAATTTATTATTTAAATTGTAAAAATCTATTTTTAGTAATTAATGGATTATTTAAAATATAAAAATCGATTTTTAGCAATTAATTGATTATTTAAAATATAAAAATCGATTTTTAGCAATTAATTGATTATTTAAAATATTTTTAGCAATTAATTGATTATTTAAAATATAAAAATCGATTTTTAGCAATTAATTGATTATTTAAAATATAAAAATCGATTTTTAGCTATTAATGGATTATTTTAAATATAAAAATCGATTTTTAGGTATTAATTGATTATTTTTAAAAATAAAAATCGATTTTTCTCAAGTCGAGATCCTGTTCCGAAAATATTCGGAAAATATATGCTCTAAAATCCACCAATTGATTATGATCATTGGAAAAATGATGTTTTTAACAAATAAAAATGTTATGTGATGCATGACGGTAAGTTAGGGTGTTAACACTCGAAGCTAGGCCGCTAATTATTATTGAATATTATGTTGATTGATGATTATGGTAATGATTATTGTTTGATTATTATGATGATTGAATCTTGATGAATATTCTGATTAAAAATGATAATTGTGAATGATTAAATCATAATGAATATATTGATGATTGTGAAAATAAAATGTATTGTTAAGGGTATCTAGAAGACTTCTAAGATATACCCATATTAATGTTGATTTGAAAGGTATCTAGAAGACCTCTAAGATATACCTATTTAAGTTAGGCCTTGCGGGTATGAACCCCGGTGGCTAGGGTTAAAACGTACGTACGGGATCCAAGAACCAAACTTGAGTACCTACTCATTTGGGGATACCACCCACCCAACAGTGAACACTACGCTGTCGGTTTTTGGTTGGCCTTAAGTGAAGGTAATTTTAAGATTTTCAAAACCCTTTTATCTTAAACTAGGCCTAGCTTAAGGATTATTTAGGAATATTTTATACTGGAATATAGTTTAATTATTTAAACTAGAATTCGTTTAAGGGTTGACAAATATTAAAGTGATTGGCCTTAGACTAAGAATAGTTTAAGGATATTGTTGAATATTGAATATGAGTAAATATTGAATGATGAATATTGAATTGAATATTGCAATTATTATGAATGACTGATGAACATTGAATGTGAATATAAATGTTGAATAATGCATGATGAATAATTTTTAATAATTATTGATTATCTGAACTGAACATTATGTGCATGATATCAAATGATTTGATTATGAATTTAGATTCAGTTTATATGGATGTTCGATGCATTAGATATGCTTACTCAGCTTCAACGCTGAGCGTGTAGTATGTTTTATTTGCTACACGCAGGTTAATGAAGTGACGTGATCCTGGAGGCAGACGGAGGCGAGATTGTCGGAATGGATGTGATGGTTTTGAATTAAAGAACATAAATAAATTATGTTTGTGATTATGATTGTTAAGCTTCCGCAATATTGAAAACTCCGTACTGTTTATATTATGAAAAATATTATTGTGATAAATAAAAGTGTTTGAAATGTTTTAAATTTTTACAATTACCAAGTTAATACTTTAATCTGAAAGAGGCTGCAGACCTGGATAGATTAGGGTGTTATAGTGGAGGTAGCTCAGTACCGTGCCAGCAGAACCGCCTTACCATCGGTCGCAGCGAAGCATGATCCTACACCAGCTCTATTTTTCCACATCGAACCAACATCAAACACAAAATAATAGACATCAATGGGTGCTATTTTCACATTCAAACATTATCTAACATAACTGTAACTTATTTAGTCGGATTCATGCTTCTAAAATCCACAAACAACATGCACAAGACATAGTTCACTTAGGGTTCATATAATTCAACCGTAACGATTCTGCGAAAGTAAGATTCAAACATACGAATATAACTATACGTTAGATGTCCACGTACTCACCTCGATTACGATGATTAATATTACGAGATAATACCAACGAACGGGAAACCACGACGTCAAACTCCTCTTCTTTCCTTCTTCCTTATTTTCTTCTTCTTTTCTCCTTCAATTCGCTGCTGTTCTAGTCCTGCTGCTGTTCTTCGGTCGCGAGAGAAGAAACGAGAGAGAGGGCTGAGTTTACATAAATTATGGGGAGGCGTGAAAGAGTTTTATGTGTGTAAGGGGTTTATTTATAGGTTTGGGATTTTGGGTTCCGTATTAATTAACGTACCAGGGCTAAAATGCACATTTTGGGCCCACGGCTCCAAATTCGAATATGTTTACACCGTTGGATTCGTTCCATCGAATCCTACACAAATGTTATATGCCTTTTTATCAAACGAATAATATTTTATAATTCTATAGAGTCCGTATCAGTAATTAATTAACTATTTTGAATTAATGAATTCCGATAGGCCAAGTTTCGGGGCGTAATATTGCACGAGGAAGAAAGATAAGTTTTGGAGGGTTTCAATTCACTCTCATCCGACGTTGTTTTACCCATCCTTGTTTTTAAATTTAAATTTAAAATGGAAACACTGTCAACGCTTCATTACTTGGCCTCCTTTTCTCCTTTTAAGAATCACGTCATCATTAAACGCTTGGACATTTCAATCAATTCTCACTTACATTGTAATTTGCGAAATACGAAACTATTTATGGGCATTTTGATAAATTCTTCTATAAGGGAGTATATAAGTTATGAAAAATCTTATAATCTTTTAAAAATTGAATGAATACACTCCACTAATATTGAAAAATATACTTGTGCTTGAGTATGACTAAAATATTAAACTTATACGGAGTATCAAAATAAGATCTCCTATATTTATATAGACAATTTTCAATACTTTTGACACTATATTCAAACTATTTGACAATATAGGTCTTATTTTGTTAGAAAAATTTTAAGATTTATTTTGATATATGAAAGATATTTTAATTTTAGTCTTCATTATTAGATAATTCTCTTTTTATTATTCTACTTTTGTGATAAAATTGAACTATATTCAAATAAATATGAGCCTGTGAATTTCTCCACCGACTTGAGTCGTAGAAAGCTCATTTCCTAGGATTAATGTGGAAGTTTGTCCAGATTCGAACCTCAGTGAAGACGAAAATGTTAAACCTTTGTGCGTTATTAGATTAAAAATATATAAAGAGATACCACATTGTAATAAAAAAGAAGACGGGTCTGTGTATTGAGGGCCCAAAATAAAAGAAGAAATTTGACGTGCAACCAATACAATTTTGGATGAGAGATGACAAGGTAAGGAGCGCCAAAGGGATAAGAACCAAATTCGATTTCTATCAACTATGCTGTAAGATATTATGCTAAGCATAGAACCTATGTTAGTACAAGATTGCAAGTACAAACTGCGGGCTCTATTTTTTATTAGAATTAACCTAGTGGTATACTAATATTAATATGGGGTACCCCATGTGTATACCAAACCAACACAGACTCGAAATGTCTGTGCTGCACACATTTTATGTCTGTGTGTGGGTTGTGGATACCATCAATCTATTGCCGTTTTTTAATCAATGTCTATCAAAGTACTGTTCAATCAGGTCTGAGGGCCCTCCGTACCAGTAGTCCATTGATTTTTCACCTCTTCCATCTCTGGTCTCAGTCTTCGTCTCCCCCCCCACCCAAAAAAGAAAGAAAGAAAGAGAAAAAAACTCTGGTGTCTGTCTCTTTGACATCGATTGGACGATTGCTGAAGGTGTAGGAGAAAGTTGAATGCATGGATGCCAATAGTTGGAGAGCGGCGCAACCTCTGGCTCAGCCTCAGGGTGGTGAAGCCGCAGGCATAGCAGCCAGTGGGGCTGCACCTGCTTCCGGATCCATGGAGACCGGCGATTGGCGGGCTCAACTGCCGCACGATTCCAGGCAAAGGATTGTCAGCAAGATGTAATTTTTCTAAAGCCCTGCCATTTCTATTTTGGAACATGGCGCCAGTAGGGCCTACTAATTGGAAGCTAATTCTAGATTTTAGACTTCACAATATTATTTCGTTTTTTTGGCAAACCAAATTCAATACAGTTTTTTTATTTATTTATTGGGGGAGGGGGAGGGGGATGGGCTGGCTGGGTAATATGTGAAGAATATCAATGTCTTGTAAGGTTGGATGATATCCTTATCCACTCTTCTCATAATTGATGTGTGAAATATGATGGTATAGAATGGATACTTTAAAGAAGCACCTCCCATTTTCTGGACAAGAGGGACTACAGGAACTTAAGAAAATTGCAGTGAGATTTGAGGAAAAAATTTATGCTGCTGCCATAAACCAGGTATACATAATGCTTGTTATTCAATTTTTATAGGCTTAAAACCTTGATGTACTTCAACTATTCACTTAACTGTTTGGAGATGTACTACTAATACGGAGAATATCTATACATGGCACATGACTTTAACCCATGAACTGATTTTCTATTGCAGGCAGATTATCTAAGGAAGATATCTTTAAAGATGTTGTCGATGGAGACAAAATCATCAAACCCTTTGGCTAATCCTCCACAAGCTAATGCTGCCAATATTAGTCAAAC